CATAAATTATTATCCTGACACTCATGTAGTCAACATCGAGATTACTTCAAGGATAACTTCAAGCATAACATCAGGCATTATTTACAATACCTCCTGTGTTGAAATATATTTGCTTGCTAATTAAATGGAGGGTTACCTAAGAATACACACACCACATATTTTCAAAAATAACATTTCCCTAATTAAAGAACAAAAGCATGTGATGTATATAACAAGTTGTGTCCAATTCAGTCATGCAGAGTTTCAGCCAATAAAACACTTGTCTTAACACAAGTCTAAATATTAAAATGTTACTTAAACTGACTCCATATAAATATATCCTATATTACATATAATAATCCCTGTTGATTAGAATGAGTCTTCTACATTCTGTCAGCATGTGAATGATACATAAGCTAGTCATCACCTACGTGGCTTGCACCTATGTGGCTTGTGACTGTAGATTTTGGTGAGGCAGGACATCATTAATAAAGACATCGCCTCAAACAAACTAAGTTAAGTGGCTATCACACTTGACTTATGCCATAGGCTACTATCTAGTGAATTTTTAGAGTAGTTTTAAAAGTTGACAACATACATTAATCCAGTGGGAACCGACATTATCCTCATCATAATTCCCCCTTTCCCTCTCCCAATCTTTGCACTACATCTTACAATAGAAATGGCTCTGTACCTCATAGACATACTGTATGCACTTACACCTTAACTTGTAAGTGTTGTTTGCAGAGAAGTATTAGATTTAATTTTGATTATTTGCTATAAAACAAGTTCTTGGCAGCTGCTGAGTATTTTTAAAACTAGCCCACCCTGGCAACTCTGTCATTAACTGTCCTGTCCCTGAGCAAGAGGCAGTGTGATCCATGCCTCAATGGGCCTCTATTAGCTCTTGTTCCCATTTTTGACCACTACATGCAATAATAACTCTATGGAGTTAAATAGGGCAGTGAGCAGGCTGCCCCACGATTGTGCAACATCTAGAAAGGAGAGCAAAACAATGGAATCTCTACTTATATCTGTCAAATAACTGTCAAATAATTGTTGGTCAGTCAAAAGAGGTAATTAGTACTTTGACAGAATTTAAAATGCATGGAGTTGAGTGAATGTAGACTTTATGAAGATTAACATTTGTTAAGCAGCTTATATAAATGGAGGGGCTCTGCAGTACTCTATAGTACAATTCTTATATGGCACACAAATTAAGCAAGAATAGTACGTCCGTTTTATCAGAGGTAGATGGTGTGTAACATTTCCCCCATGCCTATTAAACTGAATATACATCATATAGTTGCTTGCACTGACATCATGTTGGCAGGCACAAGCCTGTAGCAGATATAGTAACATGTAGTGTATTCTGCCACTCAGTAGGGAGATCCAGAACCCTGTACATTTCACCCGCAGGCACCTGAGACAGCCAGCACCAGCAGCATGATGCAACCCACTGACACTCTCTGCTGCTGAAAAAAAATTCGCTCTGGGTGCTTGAGTGCTGGGATGGTACTAATGGAAGGTAATATAAAGCTTATACACAATTTATGCCACTGTAAGGCAGGTACATTACTGTAATTCATTTCATTACAGTAAAGTGAGTCCTCATGTATCTCATCAAGTGGTCCTCATGTAAATATTGGTATATAGGAGATGAAAGAGATATCAGTAACACCCGCAATGGTGTTTATATCGTTTTACCACACCAATATAAACCACAATTTAAATATGCGACATAAACCAATTAAGGAACTTTCTGTATTTAAATAAAAAGAGCAGAACATATTGCTTTTCCTTAGCGCTGAACCCACATCCAGTTTTTGCCTGCCAAGTTCATTTTTACAAGGCTTAATTAGAAAAAAAAAAAAAAACAAAGATAATTAGATTGCACAGATCAGCTTCTCATCACATAGTGCACATCCTGTGCACTTGCTCTGAGAGTGAAAATCCCAAGTTGCAAACTATCACAGCAGCTCCCATAATAACATAAATGGCATGTCCTTTCTTTATTCTGGCTTATATTCTCAGTTTACTTAATAATGAGATGAGCAATGATAACATCATAGATTTAGTTCAATTTGACTCAAAGGGAGCAAACCATTTCCTCTACCACTTACTGCACAAAAATGATTAGCTGTAGAATTTTAATTATAGGATCATCAGTGTGCTGTTAACCATCCTTTCACTGAGACACTGGAATGAAGAGAGCATTTGCAGTTAGATAACAGCTCAGTGTTGCAAATGTGTAAGTGTGCATGTGTGTACGGGTTGGCCTTGCATTCAGAGCTTTGGGGATCCTTCGGCACAAAAAGGGGTGCAGCTGCGTCTTTGATCTCCTAAAGTGAGTACTCCCAATTGTACCTAATCCAAAAGGCTGCAGCTGAACTTGTAAGGACTAGGCCATGCAGAAACATTTTAAAATGCAACTGCAGTCATCATAAGAATAAAGGCATGGTCCGGACTGAAATGAGGAGAGGACAGCTGTAGAGGGCCTTCTTATATTGGGACAATCCAGTGTGCTGTCTCCCAAAGTGACAGAGCTGCAAAATTAGTCACGCTTCAGGCTATGATATAGCTGCTGCACTTCTGTGCAAATTACCATCATTTGCATCATCATGCTAACACTTTCTATGAAGGACATGTATGTAATGTACGACAAATATATTCAAAACATGTCAGAGTGCATTCATAAGGCATTATACACATTGTTATAATAATTTATGAAAATGTATTACACTTTATAAAAATGTGTTACAAACACTACTTATAATGCATTAATATAATATAATGCATGTTTGTAACACCTTATAATGCTAATAGCAAAAAAACTCGGTTTCAGTTTGAACAGTCTATTATTCATTATTATTCATTATTCATCTCTATTAATAACTGCACTATAGCTGACTATTATTCCATGTTTTAAGTGTAATTTGGAGTTTGATTCAACTGAGAGAAATGTAATACTGTAAATCATTTAAAAATATATTTAAAATATTTCACAAATATTATTTATAAATGATTATAAATATGTATTTATAATTAAACATAATACAGGATGCAAGCTGACTTTTTTTCATATTAGTAATGTGTTATGTGTAAGGTGAATAACTGAATAATAAGCTGGAACTTTAAGCAGCTAAATCACAACTTCATCTTCAGTAATCAATGGTCAGGGTGGAGGTGAGTCCTATCCCGGAAACACTGGGCACAGGGCAGGAATACACTCTTAATAGGATGCCAGTCCATCACAAAAGACCATGCACACATATTCACACACTCATTCACACCTTGGAGCAATTTAGAATAGCAGATCCACCAACTGGCATGTTTTTGGGAGGTGGGAGGAAACCGGAGAACCCAGAGGAAATCCACTTGGAGAGCATGTACAGGAACTCCATACAAACGGTAACCTGAGCTCAGGACTGAACCAGGGACCCTGGAACTGTGAGCAGCAACACTACTCACTGCACTACTGTGCCACCCAACATCATAATTACTATACTGTTTTCCAAAAATTAAAATGGTATGTTTAAGCCATAGAATATGAAATATGTAGACCAGTAAGCCTATGCCTCAGTTTATTAAACAAAGTCATAGGTTTTTAGAGTTTTACTGTACTGTAGATGGCCGATTCTAGGGGTCGATACATTTTAAGTTGCAATGTGCAATAAACACAAACCTCTGCGACATCACAGCAGAAAGAATGGTGAAACTAACTGCTTAGGGCCCCTAGGTGTAGGGGGCTCATAACTGGTCTGGACTGAGAAGTTGGGAAAGGGGAGTACAGGGATTTGCTATGCATTTGCATAGTCACTGGTGTGCTCACTTTATCATTATATATCGTGATACCAGAAATTCAGAAAATCTGACTCACCTCTTTTTCAAAAATATACAGATGGTCACCCTTGAGCATCACAAAGCGATTTTTCCAGATTTCTCTGAAAATGCCTTTGCCACAGAACTTGCGGATCCAGCCCACTTTGTCTGGCTGTGAGGACGGCGGTGTGGCATCCTGAACACCCTGTTCGGAAAAGAGAGAGAATGAGAAGGAGAGAATAAAGCTGGGCTTATATTACATAACAGAGGAATTAAAGTGCTGGGGAAAACTCTTTTACACAAAGACTCTCCTATAAACCCACATACACAGCAGAAGCCTATGGTGCTGCTGAAAACATTGTACTAAACAACACATAGCTGCTTTAAATTGACTTTAAGGGCATGGTCAATTAACTTACATACTCAGTTATGGATTATATATAAAATCTGTGTGCTATACAAATGTGGGTAAAGCATATTTCTTTGCTACACATTGGATAAGGCAAGACAAAGGGGTCAAACCCAGTGATATGATGTACACCAGAATTAATATAAAGAGCATCTCAGTATTGTAGTATACACATATATCCAATGCCCAAGACTGCTGCAGTGGGCTGCTGGTAAAATAACAGAGTAGATTTGTTCATAATCTTACCCTTTTGACCAGATGGCTCTTCTTCATAGTGAATGGCAGCTGTAAGACTTTATTTCCTGAACTGATCCCGCTTGGCTGATATAAATCTGAACAGTGCTGGTTGTTGTATTGGTCCTTTTTTGTTGACTTTGTGTGTACTCGATGATTAGGAGCGTTATAACGCACTATTCGCCGTCGCGAGCCGCTGGGTCTCCAGCCTGTCTGGTCGGCTCGTATACTGGAGGTTTACAAATCGCGGGCATACACACTCTCTCCATTGGCTTTTGGGTGGCTCCCTGAGAGATGCTGCGAGTTGCAGTGAAGCGCATCATCCCCAGTAGTCCGGGTTTATAAACGAACCCAACTGCTCCCCCTACTGGCTACATCAGGCTAGTGCTGGAGCCTCAAGACTAACCATGTGGAGCAACTGTACTGTAGCTTGTCACATTGACATTACATTATATTCGTGGCATTTGGCAGACGCCCTTATCCAGAGCGACTTACATTGATGTCATTTTTACACAACTAAGCAGCTGAGGGTTAAGGGCCTTGCTCAAGGGCCCAGCAGTGGCAGCACTGGGATTTGAACTCACGATCTTCCGAGGTATAGTCCAACACCTCAACCACTGAGCTACCACTAACCACTGTCAACTAGACTTACTGATGAGTTGTTAGTCACTGTACACTTAAAGGCGATTATTAAGTCTTAACAATTTTGTAATATTTGGAAAAATTATCCTTAAATGTTGGTAGTTGTTAATACAATATACGTTTAGAGCAGTGGTCACCAACCCTGCTCCTGGAGATCTACTTCCTGAAGAGTTCACTTCCAACCCTGACTGAATCTCATCAATGTCAGAAATCCACTTCATTAGTTAGATCAGGACTATTAGATTTGGGCTGGAGATGAATTCTGCAGGAAGGCAGATCTCCAGGAACAGGATTGGTGACCACTGGTTTAGAGGGTTCTGTAAATGGGATGCTGGATCAGCAGCATCCAGTGATCAAGACAAGGAGGTATTGCTACTTACTGTTAAATCATGTTACTTGTCAATTCAGAAATCTAATTTGGGTATGGTAGGAGCTGGAAATTTCCTTACTTTGGGTTGTATAGGAAATCAGAAAAAGGCTACACATTTAAACATGAATAACTGTTCTGACTGTGAAATAACATTTTCTTCTGTAACTGCTTTGCTTCTCCTATCCCAGAAACACTGGGCACTAGGGCAGGAATATACCCTGGAGGGGATGCCACGCACTCACTCACAACTAGGGGCAATCCATCCGTTCTCTGTACTACTTATCCTACACAGGGTCACAGGGGAGCCTGGAGCCTATTCCAGGGGACCTAGGGCACAAGGCAGGGGACACCCCTCACAGCCCAACCCATCACAGGGCACACCCTTCACAGCCCAACATCACACATGCATTCACACACTACAGACAATTTGGAATCAACCTACAACACATGTCTTTGGACAGGGGAAGGAAACCCCTAAAGCACAGGAAGAACATGCAAACTCCTCACACACAGGGCAGAGGTAGGAATCAAACCCCCAACCCTAGAGGTACAAGGCAACAGTGCTAACCACTAAGCCACCATAGAGGCAATTTGGAACCACCAATCCATCTACCCATGTTTTTGAGAAGTAGAAGGAAAGCAGAGAACCTACAAGAAACCCACATGTACACAGGGAGAATATGCGAAACTCTGCACAGACATACATATGTTAAACACGAATTGGGGACCCTTGAACTGTGAGACAGGAACACTATCCACTGCAACACTGCTCCAATTTTCCCTAGATTTACATCATTTATTTTATTTTTACCACAAGCAGGCTTATAAAGCTAAACAGATTTCATAGAAATGAACCTGGTAGCAGTGGCACTCTTAATCAGAAATATAGTCTGTTTATGTGTGAGTCTACACGTACTGGTGATTCAATTACAACATGTGTTTTGATTTATATGTACTTCTAATAATAGAAGGGTTAAGATGTCTACAAAATTAACATCCTAATGAGGTGAAAATGTCAAAAAATATTAATTCTTCAGAATATCTTAAAGTATATCACACTGTACATCCGCAAAGAGAAATCATAAGGATTAAGAAAAGCTGCCACACAAGGACACAGACAGTTACATAAAACTCATATGTGATTCAGAATAGGCAGAAACAGTCCACATTCATGACCTTACATTAAGTATTACATTAAGCGCAAATGCCCATGTGTCCATTCAGTCATTTTCTGTACTTCATCAATGATTGATCATGTATGTCACATACAAATCAAATTAAATCAATTTAAATTAATAGTTTTAATCACATAATCACTAAAGGTTAGTGGTGGCTGAGAAAGTTTCGTAGTCAATAATAAAAAGCCCATCATTAACATTATAAAGTATTTATGTTATATAATCTGGTCATTTTCCTCTGATCTCTCTTATCAACAAGGTGTTTCTATCGACAGAACTGTCGCTTACTCAGTGTTTTTTGTTTTTCGCACCATTCTGTGTAAACTCTAGAGACTGTTGTGTGTGAAAATCCCAGGAGATCAGCAGTTTCTGAAATACTCAAGCCAACCCATCTGGCACCAACCACCATTCCACAGTTAAAGTCACAGAGATCACACTTTTTCCCCATTCTGATATTTGATGTGAACATTAACTGAAGCTCTCGACCTGTATCTGCATGATTTCATGCATTGTGCTGCTGCCACATGATTGCATGATTGGATAACTGCATAAATGACCAGGTGTTCCGATTAAAGTGGACAGTAAGTGTACATACCCAGTACTCCATTACAGAAATAAGCTGTTTAATAAATTACACCAGCATTACATATGCATACAGTTATCTCTTTAAAAACATGTTTGTAGTTAAGGTCCAGTTTTGACTCAGAAGGGAGAATATGCATCTCTCTACACGTGGGCATTAGAAACATTAATGTAAAATGTGTATCTGCATACATGTGTATCTGTAAAATGTAATGTGGGCCACACCAACATGGAGACAGACCATTCTGATAATATCCTCATATCATTATATATCTGCAGTCAGTCCATTAAAACACATGGTCTGAATACAGATGCCTATAATTTTAGTTTTCACTGGACGAACATGGGTAACTACCTTATTTACACACAGCAGGTCAGACACAATATACAGGCTGTACAGTCAGGTTTTGGGAGGGGCTTATTGTGTTCTTGTTGTTGTAGTGCTGTCATAAGCAGTCATAGTGATCACATTAATAAACATCACTGATCTTTAGTGTAACTCACACGTACAAAACACTTTCTCTTATTTTGGACACAAGAATCATATCAAGTCTTTCTTCGACTCACAATACGGTATATTCTGGACATTGGAGAGAGGAATGTCTGCAATGAGTGGGATGGATACATGAAAGTAGCTTTCAGCTCCGAGCACACACAGCACTGTATCATATTAATATGAGAACTATTGATGAGTGTTCAGCGCCTGGTTGGTGGATGCCCGGCTCCGTGTGACCCCCTGTCTCCCCCATGACTCAAGCCAGCTGCTAATGTCACCTCCTCCAGGAAGCTGTGGAAGAGGGAGGAGAAACATTACCACAATGTTTACCACAATCAAATCAGCACTAACATACATACATACTAATCAGTGTGCTTGGAGGTTTATCATATAATCTCAATCCTGGCCAACACATCTCTGAGAGTTTATTCCTTTCTCTCATAAAGCAATCTTGTATCTCTGAGATGATATCTTTACACTCAGATGTTATATATAAAATAGGACAAAATCTTTTAAAAAAAAACCTGCAGTCGGAATACCTTCACAATAGTCAAAATATATAATAGTAAAACAGTACATACTTGTTATTACAGTAATATACAGTACTGTGCAAAAGTCTTAGGCACATGCAAAGAAATGCTGTAGAGCAAAGATGCCTTCAAAAATAATGAAATTAAACATTTCTACATTAAAAAAATACTATAAAGAGCAGTAAATAGTAATAAATGAAACAAAGTCAATATTTGGTTTGACCTTCGCTTTAAAAAAAAAATAGTAGTCTCAGGTACAGTTTGTGCAGTTTTATAAGGAAATTAGCTGTAAATTTTACTGAGCATCTTGCAGCAGCAGCCACAGTTCTTCTGGAGACTTTCACACTCGCTTCTTATTTTTGCAGCAAAACCCCCCATGTTTTTTTGTCTGAAAAGTGGTCTGTTATGTAATATGCTGCTTTCTTTACTGACATACAAACATTTTTCTGTAACATTTAATTTTGTGCTGGAAAACTAATGTTTGGAAATCTAAAATATTTTTGTACTGAATCAATAATGTAGAAGTCATAAAATAAAAATCTATAACAAAGTTTGTACTAAAAAAATAGGGTGCCTAAGACGTTTGCACAGTACTGTACTTTTTAAGCAAATGCTGTTGGTACCCTGTGTAATCTTACTAATCTGTATGCTATATTATTTATTAGATTTATACCTATATTCACTCCAGCACATGACGACTGAAGTCTCCCAATGAACAAATGTAGCTAGATGGATCCATATATGCACACTGATTATATTTTAAATAACAACTCATGGCTACCATAAAACCATCAAAACACACACAAGTTGATGCAAGCAAAATGTGAAGGGCTAGCACTCAGAACAAGAGGTGAAGGTTAAAATAATGAAAAGCTCCTGACCTTTTGGTGTTGTGAATGGTTGTTCCTCCAAGCACAATGCGAACTCCTGGCATGGTGCGGTTCAGGTTGTACACGGTCAGTGCTTCTTCATACGTGGCTCCTCCGATGATGAACACAATGATGTCCTGTGGCCTGAATTGGAGAGACCCACAATGTGTGACATACAATAACTACAGCAGTCTGCATTCATAAATGTGTATGAGATGAATTAATACTTTGTATCAGCATATTTTAAAAGTATAGTTCATTTAATAAAAGTATTAAGGCCCTTGGAAATTTTCAAAATTTCTCTCTTTTTATTTTACACGTACTGCTGTGTATTCATAAATAACTTAAAGCTAGATAACTGCTGCAGCTCACCATCTCTTCAGAGAATGTAGAGTCATTAACAAATAACTGCATAGCTGATAAGCTTGACAATACTACAGGTTAAGCTTTTCAGCCACAAAGTTTTCTGTCTATCATATGGATCAATAAAAGAAAGCATTGAAATGTCTAGAGGCGGTGGTATCTACGTTCTCATAAATTAAATTTACAATATTCCCATCATAAATATGCACTGCTAAACTTTAGTGTTTAAATATTAAATGCCATACCATTTATCTAAAATCAATGCTCCCAAAACATTTTCAGCATGTTAAACAATCTAACAAGAAGAAACAATATGCTGGACTGTTGTTATAGTAATGTTAAGAAAGCTTTTAGATCTCTCCTCCAACCTCATTTTGGTAAATCTGATCACTTATCACTTTTCCTTCAACCAACATACATATACTCAGAGGGCTACACCTAATAAACCCCAAAAACAAATAATCTGGTGCTGGTCGGCTGATGCCATCTACCGGCTCCAAGGATGTTTTGAGGCTACGGATTGGGATTTGTTAAAATTTGTGGACTTGGACTCGGTATTGTGATTCAGTCATGGACATGGTAAAATTTTATGTCGTTTAA